CTTCCATCTTTATAATTTTTCAGCTAACAGAAAATTGTAGCAAACTCTTGATAAGTAACATTTTCATATATATAGCTCAGCTTTTAACATTTATGATAGCAGTTGTTTCTGTGGTAAAAAAATATTGATTTATCCCATGCAAAAAAGTGTCAAATATTGAATAATGCAAAATCCATGTAGTCAAATTAAAATTAACACCTGGTGCCGAATAACTTTTTTGAGAGCACATATGTTTTAATATTCAGTTTGAGTAGAAAAGCTTATAGTCTTCAGAGGAGATCTATTATATTCTCCATGGATTAGAATGATATACAGCATTTAGATAGCTACATATGTGCCCTTTGCAAGGCTACGCTTCATATCCCAGGGCATTTGAGGCATTGCACAATAAAGTTAACCCTGAGCCTAACTCTGCTGGATAATGGCATACACCTGCCAGACATCTAGGGAAAAAAATAACAATATGATACTTAGATGGTATTCCTTTAAGAAGGCCTCTCATTTTTGCAGAAGATATTTCAACATTTAGACAGTAACATTTGTAATTCAATCCTGCTGACTAGCAGAACTGTGCATCAATGATTTGTAAAAGAAGCTGTTGTATTCTGTTTTTCAACTAGGATTACTGCAGTCTCAATTTGCCATATTATGCACAGATGAACCTAAACTCAGATATTCTTATTTAACATTAATACTGGCTGATGGCAACTAAATAATATTTAAATTAATAATTTTAGTGTTCATGGACCTAAGTGATCACTGTGATCACTGACTTCCAATATAAAGAATATGTTAATTAATATATTAATTATTAACTGTTGGTTGTTATTTTCATGGAAGTAGTTTGAGCTATGATGAAAGGTAACATAATTGTTTGGTTCTCTTTCTCTAGAGGGACATAAATTTTGCGTTTGCTTTGAGAAGGATGTCTGGCATTGTAGTTACTGATATTGAATGTGGTTCTCGGAAGGGTTATTTTTAAGGACATCAGAAGAGCCACATGTATATAAACAAAGGGTCCATCTAGTTCAGTGCTCTGTCTCCAGCAGTATTGACAAGTGGATGCCTAGGCAACATGGCTAGTGCCTTCTCCTCCAAATCTCCAGCTGTTCTTCCTTCTGGGGATTCCCTGAGCTATTGAGTTTTGTCTGTTTAGCATTTTCCCTGTACCTGTGAAGTTTCCCTTTGAATGTGTATTTCTCTTGCAGTCACATCCTTTGGTGAGGAGTCCCATAGGGCATGACATATTGGTAGGATGTCGTACTCTTTTGTTTGCCTTGAACCAGAGTCTCGGTTTTGTCTTTTGATGGTATTTAGTACTTTTATTAGAATAAAATCATAGAATAATTGAATCATTTAGGATTGAAAAGACCTCTAGTGTCACTGAGTCCAACCATTAACCTAACAGTGCCAAGTCCACAACTAAAAAATGTCCTTAAGTGCTGCTTCTAGATTTCTTTTAAATAGTCCCAGGATGGTGACTCCACCACTTCCCTGGGCAGCCTGCTCCAATGCTTGACAACCCTTTTGGTGAAAAGATTGTTCCTAATACATAATCTAAGCCTCCCATGGTGTAAATTGAGGCCATTTCTTCTTGTCCTATGCCTTAGGAGAAGAGACCAGCCCCAACCTGGCTACAACCTCCTTTCAGGTTGTTGTAGAAAAGAACATATGGTCAGTCTCTACTCAGTCATGATTCTGTATTCCTTTTTCATAGATTCCACACCTGCCATACTCAGTCATTGTTCATTACAGCCTTTTGATTATCTCTTACCTTTCTCTGAGCCTTTTCACTTTTTAACATGTTCTTTTTGGCAGGAAGCAACCAGAACAGCACAGAAATTTCGGGATTTGGGCAAGCCATGAACTTCTATGACAGCAGGATGTTTTCTGATTTGTTCTGTAATCCTTTTCTAATAATTCCTAAGTTTTTATAAGTTTGAGGTTTTTTTTTGGTTGCTGAAAAGCAGTTGACTATATATCATGTACTGCTTTAAATTAATGTTCTTTGTTGTATTTTACCCACCATTTTATTGTCTTGACATGCTGTCTTGTAAAGACCTTCTGCCATCCTTGATAGTCTGTCCTCATCCTTATCAACTTGAATTCCTTCAGATCATCAGAAAACTTTGTCACTTGGACTGCTCAACCACTTTTCTAACTCATTTATGGGTGTATTGAACAGTATGGATCCCAGCACAGGCACCTTGTAGTACACCTCTGGTGATTCTCACTATTGCAAGCACTGACTGTTTACTGCTAATGTCTGTTTGTTCTCCTTTAGTTAATTACTTATTTGTGTAAGACCTTCCCTTTCTCCTAACTGCTGGAGAGTGCAGGCATGCAGATATGCGTTTGTTTCTCTTATGCTCTGAAGAAATGCTTGGTTAATAAATTATTAAAATGTAAAAAACTCCACAACACAATACTTCCACTACCCTCTCCCTCCCATCCCCCCCCCCAAAAAAAAAAAAAAGACACCCCAAAAACCCCCAGGACTTCATAGTTTTTGCAAAGAGAAGTCCTTCTGTAGTAGTGAAGCATTTGCCATTCCATGGCAGAAGTAGCCCTGTATAGTGGTGCATCCATGGCAAATTAAAGTTACACTGCACACATACCAGCCCAGTCCCAAGCCATAAAAATCAGAGGTTTATGAGAATGACACTGGAGTCCTAAGTAGCCTCTTGTTTCTACTGTAGAAGCCGTTTTCGAATTGCCTTTTTTTTCAGGATTATGTTGGATAAGGGTAAGATAGAATTTCAAGGATTGGGCTGGTGTGTGCAAAACCCACACATTTATATACATAAAAAAGAGCATTTTTGCATCTACTCTCTGTTAAGGCAGTACTGTAGGCTGATAGATTAGTTCTAAGCAAAATCCAAACTTTTATTCTGTGGTCCCAAATGAGTTAGGAAGTGTCATTTGAGCTCCCTGTATGTCATGAGGTCAAAGTCTATTCACTTGAGATTTGAGCAGGTGATTTGAGTATCAGCCTCAGTAAAATAAGAGTCGGTCAGTGTTTAAAGTACCAAGTAATTTTTCCAAGATTGTAGAGATGGAATCCAAATTTTCATGTATTGCTGTGAGGCCGGAATGCAGATGTGTTTAAAGGGTTAACACTGTGGCTCAATCAGAAAGAATGCTTGGCAATAAGAGGAAGCCTGGATTAATGATGGAAAAGAATTCTTAGCATTTTATAGCAGTGGGTATTTGAGATGAGACACGGCTAATGATCAACTAAAAAGGTATTTGCAGCTGTGGTGCTACCTCTCCCCATAATGCCAACATTAATCAAGCTTTTTCATGCAGCTTTCCAGTCAATTCTACTTTTCATTGTCCCGAATAGAAAAACAGAGCTCATGCCCTGTTACACTGAGTCAGAGACCACACTTCTGTGTCACCAAAAATGATCATACCTTATCGATTTCTAAAAGCTGCACTTTCTGTGCTGTGAAACAAATCCATACCAAAGTCTGTAACAAAGCCAGTTTAAAGGAAAAAAAGCCTCTTGTAACCCCAAACTATAAATACCTCTGGGATGTGGAGCGCTTATCACCATGAATTAACTGCTCCTATATTTTATTTGAGTCTTGAATTACCAACAAAATCAGCTGTAATTACAGCATCTCTAAGTCTAGTTTTGGAGTCAGCCATCTTGGTGAAAGACCTTGGCAGTGTGAAAAGCCAGTGAAATTGTATAAGTCAGTGTCTTGGCTGTGCTGATCCTGCCTTTGGAGTCAGAAGAAAAGATTCATTATAGTGAAAAATGAAACATTTGACATACAAGTTATTTCCAAAATGGCTTCAATCTTTTTAAATAATGAACCCCATTGAATCCTAACTTCTCAGCAAATGTTCATTATCTAAATTCCTTAAGTAAACTACACATGATGAGCTTTTGAAACATGAACATGATCTTCCCTCATGTAAACAATCCTCTGCCTTTGTTGCCTGATGCTATCACATTTGGGTGCACATCCTTCTGGATTGCAGGCCCAAGCCTATAAAATCTCGCTATCAAATATCCACACTGATCTGCAGATGCTTTATGCCTCTGCTTAACAGCCATGACTCATCCCGTTAAAGTCAACAAAGTTACAGTAGTAAAGTTAGGCGTGTGTTTGCAGAAAGAGATCCAGATTCTCAGAAGTATTTAGGTAATTCAAGATTCAGAGAGATGACCAGTGGGGAAATTTCATACTGGTGTGACTAATCTCCCTAAGATCTCCTAGAATCTAGAGAGAGGGAAAGAGAGGAAAGGCTTTTGCAAAGGGGCTTCAGGACAACTAAATTAGGCTTCTGTTTTGGAGCATCTCCTAAAGGAGCCTCCAGCATTCCCTGTCATTTAAGAAGTGCTTTGAATGCTCTGTCCTGGACACCTGGCAGGAGCCGGGCCTCAAGGTGCCCATCCACATCTGGCAAGGAGCTTGTCTGAGCAATAGCCATGTCGCCAGCTCTGGCGATCAAGCTCTGTGTACTTGTGACTCTGCCCACAGCAATAATCTGCCATAGCTTTGTATTCTAATGGCCCCACATGCAGCAAGACTAGAGACTGCTGACACAGGGTAAAGTTTACTTTTCAAACTGAAGGACCAAAGTGAAAATAAAATATATTGGACTTCAGCAGACCTGGAGTTTTAAGATTCTTTTAAATAGATGTTGTAGATAAAATTCTTGATTCTTAAATGTACAGGACTGATTAAATGACCCATCTTCAGTTTTTATGGTGACTGAAATTAAAGGACTAGGAGACATGCAATGACTCCTTCACATTTTAATAAATATGGTGTATTTTGAGGATCCTCCAACAGCCATGATTTTGCTGTGTTAAATAAAGTAGATTTTATAGTGCTTTAATCAGATCATGATGGAACATTATGCAAAATATTATGCAATGTAATGCAAAGTAATTAATGCAAGCAGAGAACGTGAGACTGCTGAGCAGCATGCATTTGTGTCACACACTGCCTGCTGATTTTCAGAATTTCTCTCTTTCTTAGATAGTGGTTTCCCGTTCAGAACCCACAGCTCCACATGTCAGCTTTCAGCTAGACTCCCACCCCGTCTCTCCCCAAGTTGTTGTCAAGAATTCATTAGCAGATGATGGTTATACCCTGGTAGTGACTGGGGAAAAGGTGAGTGGTTCATACTCTAATCCTTCTGTGCACTTTGTAAACCTGCCTTCACAGCAGCAACATTCAGTAAGAGCAGCTGTTCACACCGCTGCCTTATGTACTGCATCCTCACAGCCTTGCCATTCCCTTGGGAACACTGCGGGGCGGGGGGCAAGTTTCCTCCAAGATATTTTTTTCCCCTACTGAACAAACCAACAGGCTAATATTGAGAAATGTTTAAATAACGTAAGAGCTGTGATATAAACCAACAAAAGCCAGGAAATGCAAATTTAAGGCTGAAACCCTGTCCCTAATTCAAGTGCTTGCAAAGACAAAACATACAATGGCTTAAGAAAAGAATGGCGGTCACAGTTTCCTGGCTTTTGTTGATTTGTGTCATAACTTTTTAAGGAGGGTTTTGTGTGCAAAAGTTACACGGGTGTGTTTAAAACTGGGAGTCAGTGTTCACAGTAATGTTTGAAAATTACTTTAGCATATAGTCTATAAAGAGTTAATAAAAGATGAAGAGCTATCGTAAATATGCTATTGTCATAAGTAGGTATGTATTGAATAGGTTTAAGACATCAGCAGATAATATTACAGATAATCCTAAACTATAATCGTAAGCAATAATTTGACTGCTTGAGTTCTATAAAAATTTACCGAAATAGATCATCCATTAGTAAAGATTTAATTTAAAGATTAATCATTTACTAGAAATATGTGAGATATTTATAAGAGTGATCTTCAGAAAATGTCCAAAATAAGTTTAAGGAAGGTACAGAAATATAGACAAGTGTGAGGTACTTATATAGTAATGTAATTATATACTAATTTCAATATTTTGTCCAAAAATAATTCTTATATATTTAAAGTGACTATTATCGTAATTATCCTGCTATTTCAGGTAATATACATTTTAACATATATTTTAGGTACAGTTTAAGTTTTTTGACGATAGGTATCATAAACAAGTACATGGGCAGTCACAATCTGTAAGTGTGTCACGGGCATTAAAACAGCCTTGCCAAAGTTGAAATAGCCATCATGACTATTTTTACAAATGTATGAACTAAGGCATACTGAGATACACTGCTTTTTCCAAGAACTAGTGCAGAATTGGGAGGAGCACACTGCTGTTTTCTTTCTCCATCAGCAAAAAATTCTATCTTGCTGTAAACACCAGATGCTGGTAGTAACTGTATATAACATTAAGATGCCTTTAGGGTTTCTCCCAAGCGAATTTAAAATCATGTCAGTTAAATTACTTATAAGATCCTATAATTACTGAGCTAAAGAGAAGTCGAACTGAGGCTTGCACATCTGAAATCTGAGTAGCACCACCATGCTATGCATAAATAGAGACTCTCCTTGCCACTTAGTGTATATATTAAAATGATCCTGTGCTTTATGTCTCTCCATCGACAGATAACGAAGATCCCACTGAAGGGGCCGGGCTGCCATCACTTCAGGTCCTGCAGCCAGTGCCTGCTGGCACCTGCCTTCATGCAGTGTGGCTGGTGCAGCCAGCAGTGCCTCAGGTCTCCTGAGTGCCCCAACAGCACCTGGACCCAGGACACCTGCTTGCCTAGGGTTTATGAGGTAAAGTGGTGGATTACTCCCACTTCTCTCTAGGGAAGGACATGGTCTGCTCTCTGTGGACATTTTCTGTTTATGTACTTGTCATAAATTAAGTGTCTGCTCTCCTTAACTTCCCCTCAGCCTCAGTGTCCACAAATCCTCTGGATGGCTACGCATGCTCTCCCTGAGTGCTGTGGACTGAGGTGCTCATGGTCGACAGGTCTATCTGATTATCCTGAGCAGCCATGGGAGAACCTTGGCCCTACAAAGCACTTCTGGTGGGGAAACAGCATGGGTCTGAGCCAGCCTGGCAGGGGTCTAATGGGAAAGGCCAGTCACAGAAAGGAGTACCCCTCCTCTTGAAGGGGAAAATGGAGAAAAGCACTTCCTGCCCACAGCCTGAACCAGTGCAGGAGGTCTGTGGCTCCCACTCTTCATCTGTCCCTGTGCTGGCTCCAGCAATGGAGGAAAGTATGGTGTCTCTCTATGAGAAAAATTCCCTTTCTGCTCTACCCAAGCTCCTGGAGAAGATGCTTTTTTCATGATGTCGCTCCCTGGCTCCTTGTCCCATGGGTCCACTTGCCACCAATGGGGGACAAGCCTGTAGCTGCACACCCTGTGCCCCAGGACAGGGGACAGCCGGAGGCTGCTGCCAGCCAGCCAGAGATCATCAAGGTTGTGCAAGCTTGAAATGAGCAGAGAGCTGCACTGGTATGGCCCAGTTTTAATTTAGGTGTGGTTAATGCAGGATTCATGCTGTACGTGTAATCAGATCTTCTCAGGTGAAGTGTGACATAACCGTGAAGGCAAAAGTTTGTAAGGCACTTGATGGACTAGGAATCTGAGGGAAGGACAAGTGTAAAACTTCCTGCTAGTATTTATACCCATTTACTTGTCTTAGTGCATTTAAACTACATCATGTAGTTAAAAGTACAGTTTCCTTTATGGCAATACAGCTTATAAACAGGGATGAAAATCTGATGTTTCTCTTAGAGAGAAAGGAAGACAAAAGTGGGTTTTAAATTAATAATGTATTTCTTTCAACCAGGCAGATGATTTCATGTACAACAACTTCTTAAAGAGCAGACAGGCAAAACTGCTATTAATCCAGAAAGAAATCTAGAAACACATGTTTACAGGGTAGGTTTATTTATCATGT